CAATACCTTTGGATTCGTTTTCTGATGAAGGGGTGAATGTCTATAGAGTTATAGCTTGGAATAAGCAACTGGATGGTCTCTCCAATGACAGGGAGACCCATAGAACCAGGAGGGAGATGAACTGGAACTCCATTAATTTTTGGGTATTTCCATTTGATAAGCAAATGAGTGTAATATATGACAAACAATGCTACAAGGACCAGCACAATCTCAAACATTGTGTGCGCTCTTGCTGTATCTCTACCTCGTAGGAGAATGAAAGAGAGAGAGAAACAAAACTAACTCAAAGTATTAGAAGCGATGAGTGAGCTTGGAAAAATCAGAAAAAGATGATGCTTAAATAGCTCAAGGCATGGCATGCTGAGGACTTAAGAGTCCAAAACCCAATTCCAACACAAAGGAGCCCACGTTTGCTTTTCTTCTTCTTTCCTTCCCCTTTATTCAATCCGTCACCATAAAAAAAATCAAATGTTTAAAGAAAAAAGACCGGTGCTAGGTAGATGTGCTTGTCCGCTACTTTTTTCTAAGACGGCTTGCCAGTTCTGCATTATCCCACATTTGACCACTGTTAAAATAAACTTTCGCGTCTTGAATCAGTTCTCTAAAGACAAATCGTCGCTGTTTTGCATCGTGGCTGCATGTGAGGTTGAGAGGCAGCCACAAAAATAGATGTTTGGTTATGTTTAAATTTGGTTTTGTTTCGGTTTGATCCATTATAAATTGTGGCTGCACCTGCGTTTTAACGAAAGCTAAAAAACATTATTTGCAGACAGCAGCGCACCTCGACTCCATTATCCACCGACCACAAGTGAAGAGAGAGAAAAAGGCTGTTGGAGGAACATCCTGACCTTCCCAGATCCTCACCGATTCCTCAAAAATCAGAGCAAAAATACAAACATCATCTGATTCGTCTTTTTTCTCTAAAATATACCACATTGTGAAGTAGTTTCTTGACCGGTCAAATTCCTCTCATCTCATTAAAAAAAAAAAAATCAAGATTTGTCATTTCCAACCATCTTCTCTTCTCTACTATCAAAACTAATTTCCTTTTTTTTTCCTATCCGATATGTGTTTCCATGTTTTTGATCTTTCAAATCTATTTAGAAAGGTATTTGTTCACATTATTTCTGTTGCTTTCACCGCGAAGAGTTTGTCATGTCTTCTGAACTTGTTCAAAATTACACAATGATCTGAAATCTCCTAGTTTTGTAGTTGCTAAAATAAAGAAATTGGTGCTTGTTTGTTCAATTATTTATCACAAATGGCTTATTCATTGTTGATAAATTTATGTGCATATCTTTGTTGGTTTTGGAGGCACAAGAATAATGAGATCCTGAAAACTTGTCCTGGAACACAAAAACAATTGTTGTAAAATTGAGTACGTGTTTCTTTTGTTACAATTATATAACTACTTTTGTTACAATTATATAACTAATTACCTGTTTTATGGTGCTGGAATAAAAATGATTTTTTTTTGTTTATTGTTCTTGTTTATAATATTATAAGATGAATGGGTGTTGTGATTTATGTTAATTAACCACAAATATTACCTCAATTTGTATACTCGTACAAAAATACAGGTGCTAATAGTAGTTGAAGTTACTCATCTGTATTTCTAGATCTTCCATATTTTTGGCTCTACAATACTACAATACTGTAAACTATGTTGATTGTTTTTATTAACAATCAGTTAATTCTAATTCTGCTAATGTCATTTTAAGCCTCATTACTGGTTTTTAGATCTGTATTTTCAGTTAGTTGTAAATTTTACACTGGTTATAAAAATTTCATTTGTATTTTTTTTTTGCATCGCTTATTTGATTCTTTATATCACACCTCATTTGTTTAATCTCCTTCAAGTTAAGTTATCTATATTAAGTTATAGTGTTGTTCTTTTTTTAGACATTGTATTCTATCTTGTTTTGATATGTCCTTTATTTTATATGTGTTTAAACCCAAAAGTTGGTATCTTGACTGCTTTGCTTTTTGCTTTTTTGTTAGGTGGCTGGTTGTTTGATGGTTAGTTGGCTTGGGTTCTCTCTTACTTGGAATGTAATGTTATTATTCTCGTGTTATTTTTAGTTTTTTGTTTGTTAGGTATTAAACAATGATGTTGAGTTATTAATGATATCTTATAACTCATAGTAGTTCAAAAATTAAGAATAATGAGCCTATTGTAAAGTCTGTTATTTTTTAGTTCTAGATATATATATTACGCTCTAAGTTCATTTTTAGAAAAGGAAATCTTCATTTCAATTTTGCTTTCTGTGTTGATTATTTGAATACTTGTGTGTTAACTATACTTCCATCAAATATTAGTCAAATTCCAAGCATGTTATAACCCATTATATTTGCTTTCAAATATGTCATTCAACAGGAATGAAAGGTCCTGAAACTGAAACTATGGATAAAGCTACATAGACTAAAGAAATGTTACATGCATTCAACAGGAATGAAAGGTCCTGAAACTATAGATAAAACTACATAGACTAAAGAAATGTTGCATATCTTTTGTGACCTTTGCATTAAAGTTATTGATTAGTACTTAAAAATATATTTTTATCAAGGTTTTATATCAACATTTTGCACTTGAAGTATCAATAACTTCTTAACTAAAGCATGTTTTATAATAATAAATATGATATTATAAGATACATTTAATTTATGGTACATATTTGTCTTAAATGCAGGCCCATCATATAAATCAAATGATTGATTGATGAGTTCAACTACTAAAATTGAGAAGACAAAGAGAGGATCAAGCTTAGAAAAGAGATGCTGGCTCAGTCCAAACTGGAACACTGTTTGGTCACTAGATCATAACTGGAGCTGCAGAACTTAGATTTAGGTATGATCTATATGGATGGAAAGTGAAGACATAGGCCTAAAACATTCATAGGAATGCAAGACTCATTTTTACTGTTTGGAAGGCCAAATCTTAGCAATAACGAAGAAGTCCAAATCTGTTATGTAGCCTAGATATTGTTCAGTGTTCAGCCCATATCTTGAGTTCTAAAAGTTTAAATGATTTAATTTTTTTTTTTTAGAAAGCTGAGATAAATTTCTAAAACTTTCATGAATTAAGTCTATTCAAATTTTGATGTTAGCAATGATGTTTTGTTCAGACAAGAAGATAAGGATTGTCACAAAGTCAAGATGTGACCACCCTCTCAATAATTGATCAATAAATCAATAGTTTTTCATTTTGGCCCATAAAAAAAAGTATTTTCCATGCATTTAGGCATCTTTGTTTTCATATCAAGATCATATTCTTGCTCTCTCTTTATTATAATGCTTAAGTTTTGTTTAAATTAATCTCTTGTTTATGCTTTTCATTTCCTTTTATTTGCTTAGTTAACTTTTTATCTTATTTATGTTTTTTTCTTGTTTATTTATATTTATCTCTTTTATTATGTTTAGTTAAGTTTATTATGTCAA